ACATGGAGAGAAAGACTTATGAGAAGGGCAGTTCCAAAAGCCAGACTTTTCTGAGAAACGATGTAAAAATCTTATTTTTTTATAGTGATTACAATGCATCTCTTAGATTATATTTTTAAAATAATTGCAAATGTTTGTTTCTTGGAGCAGGTTTAGGTTTACAGAAACAATGAGCAGAAAACACAGAGTTTCTGTACGTCCTCTCGCCCCTCCACAGACACGTTCCTCTATTGTTAACAATGTAGTAACATCGTAGTAACATTAGTATGGGACATTTGTGACAATTGATGAGCCAATATTGATACATTAACTAAAGTCTACAGTTTACATTAAGTTCATTCTTACTGTTGCACCTTCTTTGGATTTTGGCAAATAAACAATGACATGCATCCACCATTATAGTATCACACAGAATAGTCTTACTGCCCTAAAATTTCCCTGTGTTCCACCTATTCATCCCTCACTCCTCCCACCCGAGCTTCTGGCAACCACTGGCTTTTTTACTATCTCCATTGTTTCGCCTTTTCCAGAATGTCATATATTTGATATGACACAATAGATACCCTTTTCAGATTGGCTTCTTTCACTTAGCATTATCCACTTAAATTTCCTCCACGTCTTTCTGTGGTTCATTAGCTCATTTGTTTGTTTGTTTGTTTGCTTGTTTATTGAGACAGAGTCTTGCTCTGTCACCCAGGCTGGAGTGCAGTGGCACGATCTCAGTTCATTGCAATTTCCACCTCCCAGCTTCAAGTGATTCTCCTGCCTCAGCCTCCCAAGTAGCAGGGAATCACAAACCATGCCCAGGTAATTTTTGTACTTTTAGTAGAGACAGGGTTTCATCATGTTGGCCAGGCTTGAAACCCTGACCTCAGGTGATCCGTCCACCTCAGTCTCCCAAAGTGCTGGGATTACAGGCATGAGCCACTGCGCCTGGCCTATTTATTTATTTATTTACTTATTTTTATTTATTTCCTGAAAGACATCTTGATTGCTTCCAACTTTTGATGATTATGAATAAAGCTGCTATAAACATCCATATGAAAGGTTTTGTATGAATGTAAGTCTTCAATTCATTTGGGTAAATACTAAGGAGTATGATTACTGGAGCCTATGTTTAGTTTTGTAAGAAATTACCAAACTACTCCTAAAGTGGCTACATATTTTGCATTCAAAACAGATAGATTTAGACTGTCTTCTATCTGCATTTTCCTTAGGAGGGGTGTGTGTGTGTGTGTGTGTGTGTGTGTGTGTGTGTGTGTGTGTGTTTTCAAACAATTGTTTCTTTCATTAGGACAAGAGTTTCCCAGACAGCTGAAAGATATTGTAATAGGCACAATAACGCCCCGCACAAAGTGGCTATGCTGGAATCTGTGAATATGCTATGTTATGGTACATGTAAGGAGGAATCAAGATTGCATTTTAAATTAAGGTTGATAATTAGATGACCTTAAAATAAAGAGACTATCCTAGATTATTTGGGCTGGCCAAATGTAACCACAAGCATCCTGTACATGTGGAAGAGAGAGTCAGAGTTAGAGCGATGCAGCCTGAGAAAACAGGGGGCTTTGAAGAGGGAAGTGAGCCACCAGCTGAGCAATACAGGCAGCTTCCAGAGGCTGGAAAAGGCAAAGAAAGAGATTACCCTCTAGAACCCACCAACACCTGGTTTTCAGCTCAGAGAAATCCATTTTGCACTTCTGACCTCCAGAACTGAAAGATAACACATTTGTGTTAAGTCTAAATTTATAGTTTGTTACAGCAATTATAGAAAACTATTACAGATATGTAGCCTAATCTTCCTATCATCTCAGACTGGGGGAGAGATTTTGAAAAGGGTCTAGGTTGGACTGTTCATGTCCCACACGTAATTCCAAGATTGAATGACCCAGAATTGAAAACATATGTCTATACAAAAACTTGTACACAAATGTTCATAGGAGCACTATTCATAATAACTAAAAAGCAGAAATAACCCAAATGTTTATTAGCTGATGAGTGGATGAAAAAATGTGGTATATCCATACAATTGAATATTATTCAGCCATAAAAAATAATGAAGTGCAGATACATGTCACAACATGGATGAACCTTGAAGACATTGTGCTAACGAGGCTGGTTGAAAAAGGCCACAAAGAGTGGGATTTCATTTATATGAAATGTCCAGAATAGGCAAATCCATAGAGACAGAAAGTGATTGGAAGAAGCTGAAAGTAGGGAGTTATAAGTGGGGAGTGACTGCTGATTGAGTATAGGGTTTTTTTGGGGGGGATGATTAAATGTTCTAAAATTAGATAATGGTAATGGTTGCACAACTTTGTGAATACACTAAAAACTACTAAATTATATATGTTAAAAGGGTGAATTGTATGATGTATGAATTATATCCCATTCTATCTCAATAAAGCTATTACTAATTTAAAAAAACTCCACATTTTAGGAAAAGTATTAATGATCAGTTACTGACTTCTGATGTGAGTTGGTAACAGGATTTTCTCTGGGAGAAATGAACAAAGGAATTTCCCACTTGTAATCATTTGGGAGGCAGGTCTTGGACTGTTGTAAAAGAAAAACTGTTTTCACTTTTCTGAACTTCAGGTTGTTGAGAGCTTAGATTTTGGATGTGTCAGTCAATTTAGGTTAAGGTATATCACAGAAATATCAAATCAAAACAAAACAAAAACTAAATTAGAGAATTTTAATAGCACAAGTTATTCCCTGCTCATCCTTTATGTCATTGCAGGTCATCAGGGGACTCTATTCCTTGTCTTCTTCCCTAGAACTTGGATTGATGGTACAGCCATCATTCCAAAACTTGTTTAGCTCACAGCACAGGGGTCAAGCTCTTGAGTTCTTGCAGTAACAATTATATGCTTTAGTCTACATGTGATACAAGTTACTTTTACTCACTGGCCATAGCTAGCTGCATTCTCCACCCAACCAAAGGTAGTCAGGTAGTGCAATATTACCATTGCCCAGAAGAGTACAAATTGGAAACATTTAGGGAATAACACCAAAGACTACAGTTGTAGGCTGAATAACAGCTCACAAAGATATCAGGTTCTAATCCTTGGAATCTGTAAATGTTACATTATTGGAAAAGAGTCTTTGCTGATGTGATTAAGCTAAGGATCTTAAGAGTGGGAGATCATCGAAGTATGCCCTAAATGACACAGTATGCATCTTTATAAAAGGAAGGCAGAGAGAGATTTGATACAGACAGAAGGGGAGGAGGCAATGTGACCATGCAGGCAGAGACTGGAGTCAGGCAGGGATGCAGTTGGTCACCAAAAGCTGAAAGAGTTAAGTAATTTTCCCCTAGCGCCTCCAGAGGGAATGCAGACCTGCTGATAACCTTGATTTCTGCCCAGTGGAATCTGATTTTGGACTTCTAGCTTCTAGAACAGTGAGAGACTACATCTGTGTTGTAAGCCACTGAGCTTGTAGTACTTTGTTACAGCAGCCACAGGAAACGAACGTAACTGTCATATTAGATATGGTAGCTGTGTTTTGGGTACTTTATTTAGGACAATTAAACTCATCCCTTTTACATAGTCATATGTCCATAACTACACTAAAGCCAAGCAAAAGAACTAAAGAAAGAGGAACCCAATAGTGAACCACAATCAAAAAACTTAAACCTGTGAACTCACAGGACTGACAGAACCAAACCAGTCACTCTTCACTGGAATCACACTGCACTGTCCTCCAGACCTTAGGAAACTCTCACTGAAGGTTATGGTGCTGTCTTTACTAAAAACAAGAAGGTGGCGTAAAATCGACAAGAAGGGAACAGCAATAATTCTATTGCCTTGGCCCATGGTCAGAGCAAGTCAGATGGCTGAAATGAAAAATGACAACCAGGTTGGATCTTGGGACATATAGGCATTCCTCAAGTATTCCTTGAAATGCTCAGGAAAGAAAACATTGTCATCATCTGGATTTCCTGATGTCTGTCAAGCAAAATGGAATTCAAGCTCTACTGGCTTGTGATGTTTAAAGGAAGTGTGATACAATAACAAATTTAAATTTTTAAATCATTGAAATTATAAAACTAGAAGTGCCCTTGGAGAAACATTTAGCACTGTTAATGAAAAACCAAAGCTCCCAGGAATTGTTAGAGCCTCAGTTTCTCCATCTTTAAAATAGAAAGTTGGACAAGACCATCTCAAGTAATTCAATTCTTACATTAAAGACTTGGGACTCTATAAATTAACTTGATAACTAGCTCTAGTGTTCAGTATTGGAAAGAAATCCAAAGTAGACCTGGATACTTTAAAATTGTGCATATGAGATAAAATTAGCATGCATTGTAATCCTTCCTTTCCTTCCTTCCCTTCCTTCCTTCCTTCCTTCCTTCCTTCCTTCCTTCCTTCCTTCCTTCCTTCCTTCTCTCCCTCTCCCTCTCCCTCTCCCTCTCTCTCTCTCTCTCTCTCTTTCTTTATTTCTTTGCAGTGGTATGGCTCACTGTATCCTCGAACTCCTGGGCTCAAGCAATCCTCCTGCTTCAGCTTCCTGAGTAGCTGGGACTACAGGTGTGCGTCAGCATTCCTGCGTAATTTTTGCCTTTTTTTTTTTTTGGATATGGGGTCTTTCTCTGTTGCCCAGGCTGGTCTCCAGCTCCTGGGCTCAAACAATCCTCCCACACCTCAGCCTCCCAAAGCATTGGGATCACAGCATGAGCCACCACATCCAGCCTCACAAGCAGTTTTCTTTCTTCTCAGGAATGTTTCTGGGGTCAAAAGTGATTATTACAGAAATAATAATATTCATCAAGGATAGTTTAATGCTAAATATAAAGTGGCAAATTACTGAAAAATAAAACTTATGAAAATATGTCTTGGAACATTTTGGTAAATAGTGGATGAGTAAGGGAGTGAGTGGGCAAGTAACATTTTTAAAAATCTCCAAAACAAAAGTATATAGTCAAAGTCTTTCGTCTAAAGTGCTTCAGAAAATATGGCTCTACCTCCAAAACATATATAAATCTGATCACTTACCACCTTCACTGTTTTATGTTGATGTAACCACCATCATTTCTTGCCTGTGTTATTTCAAAGTCTTAAATGGTTCCCTGTTTCCACTCAGGGCCTATAGTCTATTCTTCACACCACAGCCAGAGGAATCCTTTAAAAATATATCAGATTGTCACTCCTTTGTTTAAACTTCCCTTCACCCAAATAGCTTCTCATCTCATGCAGATTAAAGCTAAAGTCCTTCCAGTAGCTTACAAGGCTCCTCTGAGCTGGCTGCCCACTACCTCATTAGCTCATTCCTTCCACTCTCCTCACTCACTGGCTTTGGTCTAGTCACACAGGCCACTTCTATTCTTCAAACACACCATGCAAGCTCTCACCTAGAGCATTAACATTTCTCATCCCTCTGCCCAAATGCTCTTTCAAGTCACACGGGGGCATGACTCCCTCCCTCATTTCCTTTATTCCTGCTTAAATGTGACTTTTTCCTTATGGTCTTCCCTGATCACCTTATGTAAAACAGTAACAACAACCCCTCCCCAGCTTGGCACTCTCTATTTCTCCTCACTTAGCTTTATTTTTCTCCATTGTGCTAATCATCAAACGAAATGCATTCACTTGGGAATTTGTTCATTGTCTGTCACTTTCTGACAGACAATGGATATAAGAACTGTGTTTTAGTCACTGTTGTATCCCTAGAGCTTAGAACAAAGTCTAGCACAAGTGGGATACTCCATAAATATTTGTTGAATGAATAAACGAATGCAGCTTATTTATTTGTTTGGTTTTTTGTTTGTTTGAGACAGGGTCTTGCTCTGTCGTCCAGGTTGGGGTGCAGTGGTGGAATCATGACTCACTGCAGCCTCGATCTCCACAGCTCCAGTGATTCTCCCACTTCAGCCTCCTGGAAAGCTGGGATTACAGGCATGTGCCACCACACCAGGCTAACTTTTAATTTTTTTGTAGTGACAGGGTCTTCCTATGTTGCACAGGCTGGTCTTGAACTCCTGACTTCAACAGGTCCTCCCACCTCGGCCTCCCAAAGTATTGGAATTATAGGCATGAGCCACCATGCCTGGCCACTAATGCAGTTTAAATATTAGGAGATTTGTTTATAGTATTACAAGAAGTTAAGAGCTAATTTTCCACAAGTCTATCTAGTTGGTCAATGGTGTCATCAAAGACCTTCCGCTATGCCATCCTCAGTGTTTTGGCTCCTGTCATATGGGTTGCTGCAAGGTTGCATACTGGCTGCTGCAGTTCTAACCATCATAGTCACTCACAAACATTTGCATGCAATCATTCAGTTAGTAAGTAAATTTTGCGAGATAGTACTAAGTACTAGGCATTATTGTAAGCATGGGAACATAACCATAAACAAAACAGAGGAAGTCGCTACTCTCATGAAGCGAGCTGGGCTGGAGTACAGTGGCACAATCACAACCCACAGCAGCCATGACCTCCCAGGCTCAAGCCATCCTCTTGCCCCAGCCTCCCGAGTAGCTGGACTTGCAGGTGTGCACTGGCCTGCCTGGCTAACCTTTGTGGTTTTTGTGGAGACGAGGTCTCACTATGTTGCCCAAGCTGGTCTCGAACTCTTGGGCTCAAGCAATCTGCCCACCTGAGCCTCTCAAAGTGCTGGGATTTCAAGCATGAGCCACCGTACCTGGCCTTCTTCATATAACTTTTAATCATGAAGAAAAATATGTCTCTGAAGCCACCAAACCTCCTTCATGGGTCAGCATTATATCACATGACTAACCCTCCTTATAAAGGAAGCTGGGAAAGCAAGTCTCCAAAATTTTCAGCCTCTATCATGACAGACGGTCATGACAGAGAAAAGAAGTAAAGGAAACAGCTGCCGGAGAGGCAACCAACAATGTTTGCTACAAATCATGCTAAGCATAGGTAATCCTTCAGTATCTGCTTTTTGATAAAGCATTAAGGTTGACAATTATTGCCCTGTGACTGAAATTTAATATTTCTCTCTGAAGGTTTTTGCTTTCTAAGTTTCTGTCACTTATTCTAACAGCCTTAATCATGCAGCAGCTCCAACATTCTAACAAACATGCTTTGGAAATTGACCAAGAAATGCTGGCTTGCTCCCAGGACTAAGTGATGGCATTTAATTTGCTCACCTGGAAAGAAGGACAATTCCAGAAAAGACAATTTCTTCTTGTATTACTTATTGGTCAACCAGAAACCTTTAAGCCAAAGCTGTGAATATATATATAATCTGTCAGCCTTCTTTATGTGTTCTTCAGGACCAAGCCTCAGTTTCAAACTTCTTTTGTCCAGTGTAACTGCAAGACCCACTTTAGACTCTTCGCTTCGCTTCTCCGTAGGCAATAAAGCAGCAGTTCCATCACCATTGTCCAAACAGCAAATGAGAAGTGATGTTTCAGTATAAGGTACTGTCTGGAAAAGAAGAGAAAGAGGCAGTTTTTCTGACAGAGCCGTTCACACTTTTCCTGCACAGCTGGGAGACATTAGCTGAATTTCCCCAGACTGGTCTGCTTTCTGGCACGGTGAGTTAAAAACCCTGAGAGCCTCCAAGGTAAGCTGGATTTCTATCATACACATTTAGCAGCTAAATCACCAAAAGTCACTTTCAAAAATTCACGCAAAGCTGCATCTTTAGCCAAGGTCAAGAGTTCAGCAGAAGTTAGCAAAAAGGGGATTGTGGGCAGGAGGCAAGAAAAGAGAGAGAAAATATCGATAGATTATCTTTGTTTGAAAGCTGCTTTTATTTTGAGGAACTTTGTGCTCAGGAAATTAGATAGAAGATAGTTCTGCAATAAATAGTATGAGACATATATGAAAAGAATAAATAATATTTCAATGTATGCCAATTTCCATTTCTGCCACCATATTAAGGAGATGGAAAGAGCATTAAAAGAGCCATACATCGGGCGCAGTGGCTCATGCCTGTAATCCCAGCACTTTGGGAGGCCAATGTGGGTGGATCATCTGAAGTCAGGAGTTCGAGACCAGCCTGGCCAACATAGTGAAACCCCATCTCTATTAAAAATACAAAAAATTAGCCAGGTGTGGTGTCAGGCACCTGTAATCCCAGCTACTTGGGAGGTTGAGGCAGAAGAATTGCTTGAACCCAGGAGGTGGAGGTTGCAGTGGCCCAAGATCATGCCACTGCACTCCAGCCTGGGTGACAGAGCGAGACTCTGTCTCAAAAAAAAAAAAAAAAAAAAAAAGCTAGATTCTAGTCCCACATCATGATTAATTAATAGTGAGATTTTGAACATGTCATTTAGCCATGGGGCTCAAAGTCCTGTCCCCTTCACTTTACGGGAATTTAGTTATGAAAAATTCTATTTCCCTAGGTATTTTGTGATTTATTATCAGCTTTTGATTCCACTAATAAGGACAATCTCTGGGCTTTTTACTTATATTCTGCCTAAGGACAATCTCTGGGTTTTTTATTTATATTCTGCCTTATTCCACAAGGAATCTCAGGTTGCTCTGTGGACCAACTTACATGACTTTTGTGTAGATCTCAGATTTTAAATGTTTATCTAAATCAATATGGCAATGACAGAATGGGTTTTGAAAGAGTCAATTCTAATTTTAAATGGCTTAAAACCGGACTGCACCTAAACATTTTTATTTATAATTTCTGCCTAAATGATTTATTCTGGCTTGAAAGATCTATATATTTTCTCCTATATATGCCCCAACATATATATATATAAACATAGAGACAAGCATCCTACCCTATGTTGATGATATAATCTTACTATTATAAGAATGTCCTCAAAACAAAAATGGAACCTACTGGCAAATTGCCAAATTAAATTTAAAGAAAAAAAGAATCTTATCACAAAGAGACCATACTCTTTGCATTTAGATCTGTGGTTTCTCTACTTTCTGAACAGGGGGATCTCTGGGGCAGGGCTAAAGAGTGAGAGAAGAGGCGGGTGGTTGTGGCGCCAGCCTCACCCCACACCGAAAGAGGAGTGGTTTTGTTTGGTCATGTTTTTATTTATTAGACTTCTACACAAATGTTATCCAAAAAAAAGGAACTTACTGATTTAAAAAGTCTGATCTAGGTGAAAACGGGCAAAACCAGGAGTCACTGGAGTGAATCTTGCCCATGGAATTTTTTGTCCTGTAATACATCAGTAAAATGTTTAGATGAGTTGCCAATATTCAATTATTTTACATAAAAATCTGGATTTCTGGGTCTGTTGACAATGAGGGTAGACTAGAAACACTGAGACGCATTCCCACAAAACAATGAACTGCAGCTGTGTACTGGCTGCCCAGCTTTAGAAAGTCACACACTTTTGCCAGGCGCGGTGGCTCACGCCTGTAATCCCAGCACTTTGGGAGGCCGAGGCGGGCGGATCACGAGGTCAGGAGATCGAGACCATCCTGGCTAACACGGTGAAACCCTGTCTCTACTAAAAATACAAAAAATTAGCCCAGGCCTGATGGCGGGCACCTGTAGTCTCAGCTACTCGGGAGGCTGAGGCAGGAGAATGGCGTGAACCCGGGAGGCGGAGCTTGCAGTGAGCCAAGATGGCGCCACTGCACTCCAGACAGAGCGAGACTCCGTCTCAAAAAAAAAAAAAAAAAAAAAAAAAGAAAAAAAGAAAAAAGTTACACACCTCCTTTTTTAAAATTAATTGATTAATTAATTTATTTTTTATTATACTTTAAGTCCTAGGGTACATGTGCACAATGTGCAGGTTTGTTACATATGTATACATGTGCCATGTTGGTGTGCTGCACCCATTAATTCTTCATTTACATTAGGTATATCTCCTAATGCTATCCTTCTCCCCTCCCTCCACCCCACGACAGGCCCTGGTGTGTGATGTTCCCCTTCCTGTGTCCAAGTGATCTCATTGTTCAATCCCCACCAATGAGTGAGAACATGCAGTGTTTGGTTTTCTGTCCTTGGCGATAGTTTGCTGAGAATGATGGTTTCTAGCTGCATCCATGTCCCTACAAAGGACATGAATTCATCCTTTTTTATGGCTGCATAGTATTCCATGGTGTATATGTGCCACATTTTCCTAATTCAGTCTGTCACTGATGGACATTTGGATTGGTTCCAAGTCTTTACTATTGTGAATAGTGCCACAATAAACATACGTGTGCATGTGTCTTTACAGCAGCATGATTTATAACCCTTTGGGTATATCCCCAGCAATGGGATGGCTGGGTCAAATGGTATTTCTAGTTTTAGATCCTTGAGGAATCACCACACTGTCTTCCACAATGGCTGAACTAGTTCGTACTTTCTAATTCACTATGTCCCCGCTACTCCCTAATTTGTATCCACCTAATTGTATTCACACATTTATTTCACTTGTCTCACACTTGGGGGAATTCTGGGAGGTGGCCCTAATCTACATGTATCTCAACACCAGTACATTCTGGTATGTTGACTGGGATGTGCTCCTACTTAAAATTAAACTTCTGAGTTAGCCACTTTGAGTCTTCGGGACAGAATTCAGTAGCTTCAACCAAGGGTTTGTTTCAGCATTTGAACAGATCCATGGACTTTGCCCTGCCTTAGCTGCTCTGAAGCATTTTATGAAGAGGAGCTGGTTCCATCCGGGCATAACTTCAAGTGGAACTAGGACGCCGTCAGCTTTCTCATAATCTCTAAAGAGGTTTAATTGCAAATCTGCCTTTAAACAACAGCTCAGAGCTTCTTCACCCTTCTACACTCTACAGCAATCTCAGACAGAAGGAGCCAAGAAGAGACATACTAGAAGGTTGTCTAAAGCAGTGCTTTTCAAACTTGTTTTTACTACAACGTGCAGTAAGGGATGTATTCCGCCACAGGTATGCACACTTCCACGTGCGTGCACACACACACACACACACACACACACCGGTTTTATGTTACAGTAGTTACCCTTAATACAAATACTCTATTTTTATACATGTACATATGAATACATATGAAGTCTATTGTTTCATTTCTTAAAGTGCTGTTTGTAACCTACTACCTAGATCTCAGAAATTCTAGGTCATAATTTGTAGTTTGAAAAACATAGGTTTAAAGAACATGCTATTAATTCATCTCCTAGATTTTAAAATTCTCTCTTAGTATTAGCTAAATTATAAAAACATGCCTATATAATATTAGTTTAGTTATCTATGGACCTGCATCTCTGAATTATGAACTAATATATTATCCTTGCTTTTCACCAGGTGCTGTGATAAGAAATGGCCATTTTCTTGCCAAGTGTCCCTTGTAGGGCAATATCCCTTTATAGTGTGACATAATGTGTTCCTCTTGGAGTTCAAGAAAAGTTGATTTTCCTGACTGGTATGTAATCTTCTACTAGATAATCATTATTGAATCACATCTTTTATTTCCTATTTTACCACAACTGTCAGCAAACTTAAAACTTTAGTACTTGCCTGTTGTAGCTTTTCTTCACCTAGATTCTCTAGTCTGATTATTTCTTTCTCCATGTCTGCAATCTAACTGCCTTTGCTTTCATCAGTTCTCATCTAAATTACTACAATAGTTTCTAGCCACTTTCCCTGCCTCCTTCATTCTAATCCTTATTCCAACTGCTGTGAAATGATTTTTCTAGGACACAAATGTGATGATCTAAAAAGAAAAGATTATTCCCCTGCTTCAAATTCTTCCATGGACCTCCTTGAGCATCACTTTCAAGTGCTGTGGCTTGCACTTAAGGATTTTTTTGGAAACTAGGTTAGATAAATATTGCTTATGTAATATTAACATTTGTAAGTCTCAAAATACTTCGACAGAAAAAAGAAAAACATCTAAAGGGTCAATAAAGAATGTTGATCAATGATTGTGATATGATTTTTGGTATGTGCATTCAGAAGTTTAAAATGATGCCTATATATCTAGAAATATTTTTATCTATTCAACAAAAGAGAAATGTCTACACATGGATCTTAAACTGGCAACCCAAAAGCCAAATTCATCCCTCCAACAGTTTAGCTTGTCATGAATAATGTTTTAGAATTTCTATGTTAGATATTTTTAGATGGGCACCTGGTTTCTAGTTCACCACTCTCAAGCTTCCTACACATAGTTCATCACATTCATTTTAGTTACCTGCCAGATCCCTAGTGGCTTCAGAATTTATCATTTTTGTTAGAAAGTTGAAAGGTTCAAGAGAGGTTTTCTCACCATAATCTGTTCTTCTCCCAAATGCTGGTCTTGCTTCTGCTTTTTGTATCCTTTCTAGGTTTGATTCTAAAAGTATCTGAAATCCTAAAGACAAAAGAGTTGTCTTCCTATCAGTTCAGAAAAAAAGAAAAACAAATAAAACCTTAGGTAAATTTTGAAAAACGCATCTCTGATGAAGTGGCATTTAAGCTGAGAAAAGAAAAATGAGGAGGAATGGGCTATGCAGAGAAACAAAGGATGTTCTAAGAGAGGTAACAGCAAGGGCAAGGGACCTGAGACAGGAAAGAAGTTGGTGTGTTAGGTCGATGTGAGCTAGACTTACTAAGAAACAGAAAGAACTGGTAGCGTATTAAAAAACATTGCCAAGGCTGGGAACACGAGGCACTCCATAGGCCATGATAAGCAGTCTGGAGTTTGTTCAACATGCAGTAGGAACCCTTCGATACTTTTGGGTAAGGAGTAATTGGTATGATTTCAGTTTTTAAAAGATTATTCTGCTGCCGTGCAGACAATGGCTTGTATAGGGCTAATAAAGGAAGCTAGGAGACCTGCTAGGAGGCTCCTGCAATAGAATAGGTGAGGGATGATGGTGGCTTGAGCTAGGTGACAGTGGTGGAGGTGGAAAAAGTAGATGAACTTGACATATATTCTAGAATATAAATTGCAGGAATTGCTGATTGGCTACACATGAAGGTGATATTTTAAAAAGGACTGAAGGATGTTTCCCTGGTTTCAGGTTTTATTAACTGAGTGGATGATGGTAACATCTACCATGAGAAAACTGAGGAAGGAGGCAGGTGTATGGCAATTGTGGCCAGGGAGCAGGGGACAGCCATGGCTAAGCATTTTATTCTAAGCATGTTCAGTCTGAAATCTATGTCATCAGATAGATGGGATTTAGGGGAGAAGTTCTAGGCTAGGCTTGAAACAGATTTTACAACAGATAAAGACAATTTGAACCTTAGTCAGAGAGTACAAATAGGAAAACAAAAGAGGAACTCAATCCAAGATCAGTGAAACTACAACAGTAAGAGTTGGAGTAAAGGAGGGAGAGCCAGGAAATACTACTGAGAAAGAACAGCTAAAAAAGAAGGAAAAAAACAAGAAGACTGTGGTGCCACCAAAACTATCCAGAAGGAAAAGCTGTTAAACTTAGTGAATGATGCTGAAAAGTTAAGGTAAGATTTGCATAGGATTTTGCCAACTGAAGGTGGTTGGTGAGTAGTAGAATGGAAGCCAAATAGAAAGGGGTTGAGGAGAAAACGTTAAGTGAAAAACTGGTGATGGCATATGTAGGGATAAACTGAGCTTCTCAATGAGTAGCTTTGCATATCTGCGTGGGCTCCTTGGGTAGCTTAAAGCATTATGAAAATATAAAGTTGGAGAACATGGTATTACTATTTATTTACCATGAGGGTGCCTTTCAGTTTGAAGTCACGTTTTCTCTTGATTCAGTTGCTGCTAATGTTTTTCATCCAGTTATTCTTTTCAAAGACAGTTTTACAACTTCGCTGAGATCAAACTGCTTGTCAATACACTTCAGGGCCTGAGGTTATCTCAAGATGGTATGTTGGAGTCTGTACAGTTTCATTTATTTAAAACTTGAACTTGGTAAAAGAATCTCTTGAGATTTAACAGCTCGCTCCCCTGGCAGGCTTGGGGAGGGGCAAAAAAAATCATACACAGCACGTATCATTTACACCATTCTAACACATTCATAGCACTCTTACCAAATCCTAACGAAGGAAGAAAGAATGTACATGCAGTAGGGAAGTTCGATAAATGAGAACTATACGGTTATTTTAAGAATGCATGAACAAATGAGCAAGGGAAAGCTACTGACCAAAATAAACAATGTTCATTTTTTTTTATCTTGAAGAGATGTAAGTATTTAGAATGTCAAGATCTAAAAATAAAATAGATTCTGTACCTCTAAACAAGAGAAAATACTATTATTTTGTACCTTTCAGTATCTAAGCAACTATTCTCTTCTCTGAAAATGATGCATGAATCACACTGGCCAGTGGAGTTGTAATGGTTAGACTTTTAATATTCCTCATTTTAGAAATTTGTATCTAGCCAGAACATTGCAATTTATCCAAAAGCAAATTAGGTCCATTTTAAGATAAGAGAATAAATTTGTATCTTGATCTGCTGACTACCCTATTGTAGAATCACAGGAACTTCAACTGGAAGAAATTCTAGACATATCTAATCCAAGTTCCTACCTAAAGAACAGAGGTCATCCCAATTCTGTGTGAAAATCTTCATGATGGGACACTCACTACCTCATAGAGATTTTGAGCAGATCTTGTTGATAGAAAGTTTGCTATTATTTCACTAATAATGTCCTCTATACATGCATCACAAAACTCAGATATTTAAAGGGAACTATAAAGTCTCTCCATTAAAATGCTCCAGTGCAAATAAAGATGACAAATAATTGTTATCATTTTTGAATGTTTACATGCCTATGGAAACTATTTCACATGTTTCTTCCCACTTAATATTTACAGTAACATTCTGAGATGTACAAGAGGGCAGGTCTCCAGTTGACAGATCGTGTTGGCTGACCCTGATCTTCCCTCTCTTGCATGTAATTCTCAGGCAGCATGTACCAAGAATTCAACATCCTGAGATAAGGAGGAAATGCTCAGAACAACCCAAACTGTGTCCTCATTTCTCCTAGAACATTATATTCTGCAAGCTTGAGCTCAGCATGCCAAATGTCACCCAGGGTATATAAACCCAGCACAGCACTCAGTTGTGGTGCAACATGGGGCACGCACAGACGGAACTCCATCCACCCTGGGCAGCTTTCCTGAGCCTTAGGAAGCTGGCTTGCTCTGATTCCTAGGCTTCTGTTTATCCTTGCTGCCTATAATAAATCTGTAACAAAATAATAATCTACTTTGTCCTACTTGTACATGTATTCTGTCTCATCGGACTTAAGCAATTGGTAGAGAGCCTTTGCAACGTGGGTGTGGTCAGCTTTGTTAGTGCCATCTTTCTGGCCTGTTCTCCAGCTACAGAGGATATCAAACCAAACACTTTGTTTCCCAGCCTCTCTTACAGCTAGAAGTGGCCATCGAATTCCATTTTGGCTAAGGAGGCATAGAAGAACATCTGCTAGAGGGATTCTTAGAAATACTTTTTCTTCCTTTGAAAAGAAGAGAGACATGTTTGGAGGGTTTTCTCTCTGTCTTACACCCCCACCTACTCTCAACCCTTCCAGATTTTGGACTGGAAATTATGAAAAGGAGATTTCTGGAGCCACCACTGCCATTTTTCAACAGTGGAGGGAAAGTCAGGAAAATCACAGAGAACCTAGAATCCTCGTATTGTGGAACCACCAGACTAACCCTAAACCATGTACTTCTAGATTTCTCACTAAGTAAACAAGTGATGTCTTTGTGAACTGAGCCAAATTACCTGGCTTTTCCATTACTTGAAGCTATAGTTATACTAACTGATAGAGTAGGCAATGTTACTATCTTTGTTTCATATGTGAGGAAACAGAACAAAGAAATAAAGTAAAAATATTCTAAGGTTGCATGGAGGGCAAAGAGCAGAACCATGACTCAAGCTTACATAACCTCAGAACAAACACACAATGTCCTCCAGTTTGTTGAATCAATTTTCATGTATTGTGTTTTTCAGATTCCACATCATGCTGAATAGCCACATCTTGTCATAATTGGCTTTCTCAATATCTCTCCTAAGTGACGTTGTTAAAGTCAAGTACAGTCACTCCTCAATCAAAGTAGTGTAGAGAGTAGTAGACATTAACTACCTTATAACTACCTTGTTGTGAATACTTACATGAACACAGGCTGGAATCCTATGAGCTTTTTACTCAGTCTCAACACCCTCCTATCAACTCATGTTAAGTTTTATTTTGGCCAGGTGCTGTGGCTCACGCCTGTAATCCCAGCACTTTGGGAGCCTGAGGTGGGCATATCACTTGAGCACAGGAATTTGAGACCAGCCTGGGCAACATGGCAAAACTCAATCTCTCTACAAAAAATTTATAATTAATTGGGCATGGTGGCGCATGCCAGTGGTCTCAGCTACTCTGGAGGCTGAGGAGGGAGGATGGATTGGGCCCAGGACATCAAGGCTGCAGTGAGCTGAGATTGTGCCACCAGCCTGGGTGACAGAGTGAGACCCTGTCTCAAAAAAAAAAAAAAAAAAAGCTTTATTTTTTCTCCTAACGTCCTTCTCACTCTTCAATATTTAGATAATGAAAATAACTTTAGAGAATTGAAAGAGGTTGCTGAAGAAGCATTTCCTTTAGTCATTTGCCTTCACACATACATGCAAGATAATACATAATTCTTTCCAAGGAAATGATAGTCTCTCAATCTTTAAAGGCACTCAGGCACAGGGATTCCTAATCTCACTTCACTGCTCCAGTGTTTAAAATTTTTATGACCTTCATTAACTGTATCAATAAAATGTAAGCAGCACAAATGCAGGGACTTTTTGTCCCTCTGCCGTATCCTTGGCATCTTAGTATAATATTTGGCACATATTAGGCATTCAGTAAACATTAACTGAACATGAATGAGTCTAAGAAATTCTTTCTTCTATTTAGTTTGAGTTTTATTTCCCTATATTTTTTGCAAGTGGAAATCTCAAAAGGAATGGCCT